TGCAACAAGAGTTATAGCTTTTTGGTCTGAGAAGGTCAAGGATGGTAATGTATTCTTAACTTTTTTCTAACAGTTGAAAAATTTCCACATTTTATTACTTTTTTTTTTTTTTTTTGGTGGAACCAGGGATTGAACTCAGACCCTTGCGCTCACCAGGGAAGCACTTATTCCACTGAGCCATCTCCCCGGCCCCTTTATTATTTCTTCTAGTCTTTGTAAACTATCCATGTAATCAAGATTCCATCACACATTTTGTGAAAAACACCTTGCAATCTAATGGGGTTTTGTTTGTTTGTTTTTTGAGACAGGGTCTCATTATGTAATGTGGGCTGGCCTTAAATTCACCATGTAGCCCAGGATGGCCTGGAACTCTTCTTGCCTCAGCCTCCTGAGTTCAGGGACTACAGGTATGTGCCACCATTCACCAGACAAACTAATGGGTTTTAAAAGTTATGCACTAATTCTGTCCTGTATAAAGTTGAAGATACACAGCTTCAAAAGATAATACCATTAAAAAGAAAAGCAAAGTTCTAAGATTTAGAACTTTAGTTCTAAGATTTATTCACATGGACTGGTGTCCTCCTAGTAAGACTCTCAAGCAAATGTTTTAAAGGTATAAATGCACATAGCAAGCTTGTCTATTTATGTTTAGAAGTGTAAATTATGAACCTTAATTTAAACCCTAGAAATTATGACAAGGATTCAGAGTTCAGTCACAGTTGAAAAGCATAAAATATCTGCTTTCTTTTTTTTTTTTTTTTTTTGCAGAACCGAGGATTGAACTCAGATCCTTGCATTTGTCAGTCAAGCGCTTATCCTACTGAGCCATCTCCCCAGCCCCAATATCTGCTTTCTTAATTCCATGAGATAAACATCTACTTATCTTTTAAAACACTACTCAGATGTTAACCACATCTAACACTTTCTGTATCAGCCCAAGATAGTTTATTTTGCACTAAATATATAAAGAAATTATAGTGCTGTGCTTATAGCCCCGGCCTGAAGTGATTTATTAATGGCCTATCTCCTCCAACCAGAGTATGAGCTCCACACAGCAGGGACCATGGTATAATAATCTCAGTGTTCCTAGCTAGCACTGCACGTGGAAACCAGGATCTTAAAAATGGCAAGGCTGAACTATTTAGTCATAAGTCAGGAGAATTTTCACATAGCCAATAACTGTACAAATACATCTTCCCGTCACACACACACACACTTTTCTTTTCTGTAATGCTAGGGATTAAACCCAGGGCCTCACAAATGCAAGGCAAGCCCTCTACTCAGCTGCACCCCACCCTGATTCAACATGTCCTACCTTAATGTCTATATATTTTCATCATGTTATAATTTATGTAGTGCTTGCTTTGGCAGCACATACACTAAAACTGGAACAGTATAATTTATGTAACTATCAAGAGCAGAACTAAATTAAAACATTTTCTATTTTTTCAATAGCAGTTAACTAAGTAATAAAAAAAACACAACTTAAGAATAAACTTTCAAGAAAATTCTTGAATACCATATTTAAACTGTATACAACATATTATAAAATACTGAACAGCTCAAAGTATTTATTAAAATTCTAAAATAAACTTTATTATATATATATATAGTATGAGACAAATATGATTACCATAATAAAACAAATTAATATACCTACCACTCACATAGTTACCCAAATAAGTTAAACTTCTAAAGACTTTAATCATCCTTTGACACTGATGAAAAAATATTGTTATTTGTTAGAATCATTGTTACTTCTGAGATTAGTACTTGTAGAATAGAAAAGGTACCCTGCCAGTTATAAAATTTAAGCAACTTCACAGCAAGATTTTCTTCTTGGGGGAACAAGGGATATATGTAGTTCAGGCTGGCCTTAAACTCATGGCAATTCTCCTATCTCAGCCTCCCATGTGTTAAGATTATAGATGTGTGCTACCACATTCAGCTTTGGAATATATTAATAACACATCTATATATGAAATGAGCTTATAGAAAGTATTTCTAGGAGCCTTTGATATAGCTCAGCAGCATAAGCGCCTGCCTGGCAAGTGCAAGGTCCTGAGTTCAATCCCTGGTACCACAAAAACAAAACAAAACAAAGCATTTGTAGGGCTGGAGAGATGGCTCAGTGGAATAAGCACTTCCCTGGCAAGCGCAAAGGCCTGAGTTCAATCCCTGGTTCCCCAGGGGGAAAAAAAAAATTTCTATTTTATAAGTCATAGGATTATTGTAGATTCTCAAATATTCATGGACTAGTTGGCCAGAGACTAAAATAAATACAAGCGTCCACAAGTACAACCTACAGAGAGTGACTAAGTACTTCATGGTCTCCATCAAAGAGTTAGAATTTTACTTTGAATAAACCACACTATTTCAAAATGACACACCACAACTTTCTGGACAGAGTTCTTATGTTGTCACTTTTATACCCTAAAGGGATAGAGGCTCACCTGACAAGTCCAGCTCCTCAGTGGAAGACAAGTTGGCCAGACTCCACCTGTCACTGCGGGCTGCCAGAACAAACTTGTGAGCACTGATGTGCCTGTCCCCAACCTTGATCTTCAGATCACTGATAAAGAAAAACATCCACAAAAACAGAAAGAGTCATTGTAACTAAGTATAGTCAGGCTTTACAGCTAATAAAGATATTGGTACTAATTGATCAACATGCATCTACAAAAGAAAATGTTAATAGCAAAATTGTTTCCATATGATAATCCTGAATTTTGATGGACAATGTCTACAATACGTTGCTGGAAATGTTTTTTATTTCTAATTTTTATTGAATTCACATGTCACGCTCTCCTAGTAGGGTTCTTATGGTGGTGAGCTACAAGGTAAGTAGAATGATTAATACTAATATATGAAGACGTTTTATACAGAATAAATCAAGATAATCCATCACACAGTGAAAGGTGGAAATCTTAAAAGATTGTGATGACAACCTTGAGACTACACCGTGGCTCTGCTCTATATTAACAGTTTTTCTGTTTAAAGAAAAAAAACTAGAACAAACTGGCTTTGACAAAGCAGTCAAGAAATAGAAATACAGGGCCCGCGAGATATTTCAGCGAACTAAGCCCCTACTTAGTCAAGTGCAAGGACCAGGGTTTGATCCCCAGCACCACATGCCATGCCAGCCCCACCCCCAGGCATGCTGAGCTGGCCACCAAGACCAAGCGTAGTGTCGCATGCCTATAATCCCAGTGCTAGGGAAGCTGAAAACGGGAAGATCACTACAAGTCTGAGCTATGCACTGACACCCTGTATGAAATACATAAAATTTTTTTTAAAAATTAGAAATACCTGTATACCTGTTCTCACCAGCAACATTGAGACCTAACGTTGGCCATTTATCACTCAACCATTTATAAAGAAAGAGGTGGGAAAATCTTTTCTTTCTTTGAAACCTGTTTCTATTAATTATGATATACCATTATATGCAAAGAGCTCCTGGAATACATGTTTACATTTACCTCTGAGATGTCAAATGCTAACAGAAAAAGCATTGAGCCAGTTAACAAAAAAGCCGGGCTGACCCGCTGGACTGACACAAGCACGGGCCACACAGCTACACTGGCGGCAACACAAAGTCATTCATTATCACCTTCCTGCTTGTATTTATGTGTCTTCTGTACCTTCCTTTAAAATTATTTATTAGGTTGAAAAGCCTTTAGAAACTAAATTTAGGGGGCCAGGGAGATGGCTCAATAGAATAAGCGCTTCCCTGGCAAGCACAAGGGCCTGAGTTCAATCCCTAGTTCTGCCAAAAAAGACACTAAATTTAGAAGCTTTTATATGGAGTAAGGGGGGGGGGGCAAAACAAAATAAACTATTCATGAAGTAACCATCTATTTAAAAGGAGACTCAACTAGAACTGCTTTAATATAATGTTTGACACAAATTTAACACCACAAAATATTATCCAGAACACACTTTATAAACATGTAAGAGAACCAATAATTCTAGCTCTATTAAAAACTAAGCTTAAAAAACAAAACAAGTTATAATTTTAGACCACAAGAGTATTATTTATTATCTCAAGTTGTTACAAGAGTTACATAATATATTCATCAATAAATATAAGGAAAAAACAGAACTAATATTCTAGTAAGGCATGGTGGCACACACCTATAATCCCGGCATTCTGGGAAACTGACACAGGAAGTTTGCAAGTTCAAGCCCAGTTTAGACAATTTAGTGAATTAGCCCTATCTCAAAATAAAAAGTACAAAAAAGATGTGAGGATATTGCTCAATGTAAAGGCCCTGGGTCCAAGTACTAAATACTAAAATAATACTAGTACTAAATAATAGTAATAATAAGAGTCTATTTAAAAAGCTGTCTGAAATCATATCCTGTCATAAAATTTTAAAAGATTAATGAAGCTGGCAATGGAGGTGCACACATGTAATCACAGTACTTGGCAGGGCTGAGGCAGGGGGATAGTTCCAAGTTCAAGGCCAGCTGGAGCTACAAAGTGAGCTCAAGCACAGTCTGAGATCCAACCAGACCCTGATCAAAGACACCCCCCCAAAAAAATAATGAAAATAGGAAGTTATTTGCAAAGCACAAATGTGTCTTTTATATTTCTAAAGAATTAAATGCTACTAACTTAAATGGATAGTCACTGTTTATACAGTAGAGAGTCACAAATTCAGCAATTCTAACCTATAGTCACAAAAAATTATAAAAGTAAATGTTTCTGTAGGATTTCTAATTATAAAATGTTACATACCATTAGGAAGAAAGGACAAGGATTCAGTAATAATTGTTAATAATTTTATGTTTTTTGGGTTTTTTTTGGGTACAATGGGCTTTATTGATGGTGTGCAAGGGCAGTGAGCCAGGGATCCCAAGGCCCTTCCCCTTCTAGGGCGCCTAGGATGGAAGCTGTGAGGGGGAGATTCTCAGTATTGGGGCTGAGTAGGGCAGTGACGACTTCTACAGCGTGGCCTCTCCATCCCTCTGGTCTCGCTGGGCTGTGGTGGTGGGGGCCACTTACTCCTTGGAGGCCATGTGGACCATGAGGTCCACTACCCTGTTGCTGTAGCCGAACTCATTGTCATACCAGGAAATGAGCTTCACAAAGTGATCATTCAGGGCAATGCCAGCCCCAGCATCAAAGGTGGAAGAGTGGCTGTCACTGAAGTCGCAAGACACAACCTGGTCCTCGGTGTAGCCCAGGATGCCTTTGAGGGGACCATCTGAGGCCTGCTTCACCACCTTCTTGATGTCGTATTTAGCCGCTTTCTCCAGGCGACAGGTCAGATCCATCACCGACACATTGGGAGTGGGCACACCGAAGGCCCTGCCTGTGAGCTTCCCGTTCAGCTCTGGGATGACCTTGCCCACAGCCTTGGCAGCACCAGTGGATGCAGGGATGATTTTCTGGGCAGCCCCACGGCCATCACGCCACAGCTTCCCAGAGAGGCTGTCCACAGTCTTCTGGGTGGCAGTGATGGCGTGCACTGTGGTCATGAGTCCCTCCACAATGCCGAAGTTGTCATGAATGACCTTTGCCAGTGGGGCTAAACAGTTGGTGGGACAGGAAGCATTGCTGACGATCTTGAGGGAGTTGTCATACTTTTCATGATTCACACCCATCACAAACATGGGGGCATCGGCGGAAGGGGCAGAGATGATGACCCTTTTGGCACCGCCCTTCAGGTGAGCCCCAGCCTTCTCCATGGTAGTGAAGACACCAGTGGACTCCACTACATACTCAGCGCCAGCATCACCCCACTTGATGTTGGCGGGATCTCACTCTTGGAAGATGGTGATAGTCTTTCCGTTGATGGAGAGCTTCCCGTTCTCAGCCTTGACAGTGCCATTGAACCTGCCATGGGTGGAATCGTACTGGAACATGCAGACCATGTAGTTGAGGTCAATAAAAGGGTCATTGATGGCCACAACCTCGACCTTGCCAGAGAGAATAGAAGCCCTGGTGACCAGGCGTCCAATACGGCCAAATCCGTTCACTCCGACCTTCACCATCTTGTCTGGATCGCTGCTGGCTGTTCGGGAAGATCTGCTATCCGCGGACGCACAGGAGTGCACAGGAGCAGAGAGCCTAATTTTATGTTTTGATTGGTGTAGTGTGGTATTATATGGGATGGGTTGGGTTGGACTGGGTTGGGTTGGCTTGGTTTGGTTTTGGTCTTGAATTCATTATGTAGCCTGGGCCGGCCTTGAACTCCTGACAATCCTCCTGTCTCAGTCTGCCAAGTGCTGGGATTATAAGCATGCACCACCACTCTTGTCTTGGTTTTTGTTTCTTGAGACAGTCTCACTATGTAGTTCAGACTGGGCTTTAACTTGAGCTGATTCTTGTACCTCTGTCTCCTGTTGGGATTACAGGTGTACACTACCATGTCCAGCTTCTAGTAATAGTTTTTAAAAATGTATCAGTTAGGAATATAGCTCAATGGTAGAGTGCCTGCTAACATGCGCAAGACCCTGGGTTTGATTCCCAGCACTGCAAGCAAACCAAAAATAAACAAAAAGGAAAACAGAAAGCCAAATAAAGTTAAATTTAAGAGGACACTATGTGGGCTGGGGAGATACCTCAGTCGTCTAAGTGCCTGCCTGGCAAGCACTGGGTTCAACCCCCAGACCTGAGTTCAATCCCTGGTACTGCATATGGTGCTGGCCCCAGAAGGAACCCCAGGCGGGCTGAGCTGGCCATGGAAACCGGACATGGTGGCACACACCTGTAATCCCAGCACTGGAGAGGCTGAGACAGGAGGATCACTACAAGTCCAAGCTACATAGCGAGACCCTGTAGCAAATAAGTAATTTTTTTTTTCAAAAGACTACGTAGAAACAACTAAAGCCTTAGTAACTTCACTTTAGTCAATTCTAGTATTTCAAGGCTTGAAGGAAATAGAGCACTTGCTTAGTACACTCAAGTCTCTGGGGTACATCCCGAGGACCGTGAAAGGGGTGGTGGGGAGGAAGAGAGTTTCTTTCTTTTTTCTCTTTTTGTCTCTTTGAGACAGGGTCTCTCCATACATCTCCGGCTGGCCTTGAACTCACTTTGTAGCCCAGGCTGGTCTCACACCTGCGATAATCCTCTTGCCTTAGCCTCTCAAGTGCTAGGATTATAGGCATGCATGCCACTATGTCTGGCTCTTCCACATTTCTTGACATTAAAAAAACCTACATATCCTTCATTTCAGTCATTCAGATGCATATAAAAATATTATTTAAATTATTCAACAAAATGCATGCCAGTGGCAACCCATTTGGAACCCCTCCTATCTCTTAGGAGCTATTCCTATTCCCCATTCTCCAATACATTCTTTTATTCTTTTTTTTTTAAAATTTTT